ACAAGCTGCTTGGGGAAAACTTATGAAAGGCTTATAAATCGCCGCCTTATGTTCCTTTTGGAAGAGAAAAACTTTTTTGACACTAAGCAGTGTGGCTTTCGTGCTGGACGGTCCACCATGGACCATCTGGTCTGACTTGAGACCGTCATACGTGAGGCCTTTGTACACCGGCAGCATTGCGTGTCGGTGTTTTTTGATCTAGAGAAGGCATATGACACTACGTGGAGGTATGGTATCCTTCGAGATCTATACAACTGTGGAGTGCGTGGCCGTATGCTTCGTTGCTTGCAGAATTTTTTAAGTGAGCGTACATTTCAAGTCCGATTAGGCTCGACTTTATCCAATGTCTTCTTGCAAGAAAATGGTGTCCCCCAAGGCGGAGTCTTAAGTGCCACCTTATTTGCAGTTAAGATAAACAGTCTGGCTCAAGTTATACCGTCATCTGTTTTATACTCGCTCTACGTGGATGATGTGCAAATATCTTTTTCCTCCTGCAACCTCTCCAGTTGTGAACGGCAACTGCAGCTCACAATAAACAGAATGACCAAGTGGGCAAATGAAAATGGTTTTAAGTTTTCCCCAGAGAAAACTGTGTGTGTGCCGTTTTCCCTGCGGCGAGGTTTGACTTTGGACCCAATCTTACAATTGAATAACATAGAAATATTGGTGAAGCAGGAACATAAATTTTTAGGCGTGGTCTTCGATAAAAAGCTTACATTCAAGTCTCATTTAAAGGAAGTAAAGCAAAAGTGCTTGCGATCCTCAAACATCCTTAAAGGGACACTGACACCCCCAAAAAAAAATTTTATTTTTTGCCAGGCGCTTCATTATGGTGTCGGAGGACTACCCAATTAATATTTTGCAACAGAGTAGCGTATTTTTTTAATAAAGCCAAAAGACGCAACTCCTCGAAACCGAAACCGAAACCCGACGGAGGTCGGAGAAGTGGAGAGAAGAGAGTGAGTGGCGGAAGTCACGTGGCTACACCCGACCGTGCGTTTTTTTTTTTTTTTTTTCTCTCCTCTTTGGTTGCAGACGACAGGACATGCGGCGTGCGATGCGGCGTGCGGGAACTGCTCGCCGTGCGATTTTCTTTGCAGTTATGTTTGTTCCGCTCGTTGTTCTGTACTCCAAGATGAGTTGTTTTGTACATTGAGGAGTTGGAGATGAGTAGTGAGTGCCCGTGGTGAATTTCCATGATCGGCTCCGAGAAGAATACACCCAAGATGTTGCGTGAAGAGCTGGCTCACATTTCCTGAATCCGAATAAAAGTGGCATTGTGCGCCAGAGTTTCCGAAAGATCAACGGGATCGGGACCAACGGCTGGCTGCAATTCCTGTAGAACATATACGGGCACCTCGGAAAGCGGACGTTACCTGATTTACATGCTCCTTGCATTTTCTGGAAAGTGATTACATTGAGCTCGCAGGTGTCAAAACGGAAATCCCATACCATTTAAATCAGCGAAGTATCGTCCACAACATTAGTTTGTTATTTTTTTTGTTTGTTTCTTCAGTGATGATTGTAAAAAAAAATATATATATATATGTAAACATCGGAAAATGTTTGAAGAAAAAAAAAATAAAGTTTCACGGGGGATCGAACCCGGTCCTACCGCGTGTGAACCGGTCGTCTTTCCCACTAAGCTATTGGGGCGTCGCTTTTCTGGTGGATCTCTTTCCTTAGTAACAATTCAGCCGGTAAACTGTAAGTTGGAACGTTTGCTGTCGATTTTTCTCTAGTAAAAGCACTCCTGGGTCGAAGTCGGGAAGCACCACGCTTTGGGGACATTCGCACCTAGTAAAGAAATCGTACGCGTGCATATTGAACTTGAAGTAGACACGTCGTGCTTGACGTTTGCGCGAGCGATGTCTTCAGCCACGAGAAGGGAGCGACGGCTCGGCGACGTCTTCGTGCAAATCGGCTGGGTGGCCGGGCGTGTTGTACGGGATGAATACCAATTCTTTTGATCAGTCCCAAATTTCTCTTTTAACGGTAGACAGAATTCGCCGGTACCACAAACGACAGTTCTGAAATAGAGGTCCCACGCCTGTCGTCCGCTGCCATCGCCGTCCCCGCGAGTCCCACGATACGCGAAACGACGAACGCACAGAATGCTTCCGGTTGTCCGTGGAACTTTTTTTTTCAATCAACGTATTTACAGCTTTTTAGAAGCCACAAAAAATGGATTTCATATTTTTTTTCTATTTTTAATAATGAGTGTGTGCCTTCAGTGACCCACGACTTTGATTAAATTTGGTGGTCGCATCGATACCTTAGAAAACGGCCCGTGACCGCGAGAAAGAGAGTGAGCGAGACTCGAACCGGCCAGTTCTTGATCGGCGGTTTTCGGGCGGAAAGAAACCGAATTTCGAGCCGCAAATTCTGTTCTGGGTAGTTGAGCTCTCATATGTCACGTACAACTAAAAACCTCAGCGAGCATAAATACCCTGTCAGTATCCCTTTAAGGTTCTGTCACATATATCTTGGGGGTCTGACAGACGATGCCTCCTACGTTTGTACAATGCTTTAGTTCGGTCACGTCTGGATTATGGAGCGATTGTTTATGGTTCGGCACGACCTTCCACTCTAAAGATGTTGGATCTGGTTCATCACCTCGGACTCCGGCTAGCCACTGGGGCATTTCGCACGTCACCCGTATTAAGCTCGTATGTGGACACGCATCAGATGTCTCTAGAAAAACGCCGACAGTACTTGAGCCTGTGGTATTATTACAAAGTGCTTTCGGATCCGAAAAATCCTGCTTATAGTATTTTACAAATTCCTCAGTTCTGTAATTCGTTTGAAAACAAGCCAACAATTGTGCGCCCCCTAGGTTTTCGAGTTCAAAGTATTTGTAGCTCTCTCAACGTCCCTGTCCCTTCCACAAGTGGTGTTAACTTGCTAAAATCTATGGGGAGAATTGCCCCTTGGAATGAGCTACCCGTATGTTGTGACTGGTCTTTCACCAAATACAGTAAGAAGACCGTGGCTCCACAGTTTCTTCAGCAAGAGTTTCTATCTTTGCAAGAAAGGATATCTAGCGGTTGCGCCGAATACTACACAGACGGATCGAAATCTTTATGCTCCGTTGGTTGCGCAGTTTATTCTAGTGGCTTTGGAAGAGCTGTGCAGCTTGACTCAATGGCAAGCATTTTCACCGCAGAGCTCTATGGTATTTTATTAGCCATTGAGCATATTCTGGATAACAGTGTATTGAACGCAGTCATTTTTGTCGATTCACAAAGCGTCTTAGCTGCTATCTCTTCCAGAGTTTCCACAAAGAATGTACTTACACAACATGTTCATTTTAAAGTAAACAGAGCTCTGCGCCTTGGAAGTAATATCAAATTTTGCTGGGTACCAAGTCACGTGGGAATTGCAGGGAATGAGAGTGCGGGTCGCTTGGCTGCATCTGCCACAGATTCAATAGCATCTTTTGGCCTGCCCTACCAGGATTTTAAACCACTTTTAAAGAAATCTCTTTTAAAGACTCGGCAGCTAGAATGGGACACTGAAACCCACAACAAACTCCACGTGATTAAACCAATGATAGGCATCTGGGAAAGTTCATTTCACAGAAACCGTCGTCTCGAGGTTATGCTTTGTCGCTTGAGAATCGGCCACTCACGTCTGAGACATATGTACCTCCTCTGTGGCGAAGAAGTTGCACTTTGTGCCCATTGTGGGGAATTACTTACAATTTTACACATTCTATGGGAGTGTAGGTTTTATCATCAACTGCGCGTATCATGTTTTCCTGAACTCTTTAGAGACCATCTTCCCTTTCATCCGATGTTTTTACTTGGTGACAGTGCTTTAGTACCACTTAGACGAGTTTTTAATTTTCTTAACAAAACTGGTTATCTACACAAGTTATAAATATCTTCTCTAGTCTAGCATCTGTTTTGCTGAGCTTTAATAAACATTTTGTTTGGCGCATTATGGCCTCCGTTGCTGCTGCGCCACTAAAACCTTAATCTTACTTACTTACAGTATAGAATAAAGCATACCTAGAACAGGGTTTGATTTAGGGGAAGGGGGAGCGAGGGGGGTGCCTGCTCTCCCCCTCCTCATCCCAAGGGAAAGTTTTTAAGGTAAAAAGGGCATACATAAGTCATTTTTTTTAGTAAGAAATGCCTCATTCTTCATGAAATAGTGATTATATTTGTCTGTGAGATTATATCTGTTTGACATCACATACTTTTGCAGCCCCTTCCCCCAAGCCTCATAAGTCTACCCCTGACTTGGAAGTTATTGATCTGTTCTTTTAAAAAAAATGGCATGCGAGCTATGCATTCACGCCTACCAGGCTGCGCAAACACATATTCTTTTTCCTTTAAGGATTGCGACCACACTGATGACAGACATCAATAAAATTCACTATAATCTTCTAAGTGCTTGGTTTATTGACCATTTGCTTTGTGCACTAACCATTTGTGCATGCCTAAATAGTTGCGGAACAGCAAAACCATTTATACAACTTGGAGTGAGCAAGGCAGCTCACTGTCCTTGCTGAGTATGGTGTTCATACAAAGCAGAATAGCACAAAAAAAATTGGAATATGATTTAAAATTAGATTAGCCTGTATAGCTGTAATTGCAACATGCCATGGAGAGTAGCTTCGCATTCGTTATGTATTATTCTGCATGCACAAAAATGGAATTTTTTTCACTCGGGTGCAAGTAAAAATATTTTTGTAAGCTTGAGCTTCACTGCTACATGCCCCAATTGCATCATCTGCACGTCTGTATTTTACACTCGTACAAGAGTAGGATGTGTATTTGTTACAGAGATGTAAAAAATCTGACCACAATTCCTTCAGGAAAATGACCACTGAAGTGTACTTCTGAGAAACCTCTGAGCTTGCATACTTGTTTGTTTGTTTGGTCAACTTTGTAGTAGGCAAACCGTCTGAAGTGTTTCACATGCGTGGCTCTTTCTTTTGTGTAACAATAGACAAAAATTATGACTCTTGTTTTCTTTTGTATCTATGCAAGCCCTGAACCCCTGTGCCACGTGCCCTCACCTAGTCCTGAAAAGAATTTCTGCATCACCAACCAAGGATGACCCTCCTGAGGGTGAGTTTGTGTTCTAAATGAGGTTGCTCCTGAAATCTAAGCTGTAAATGGATTTACAGCTATATATAAAATTGCAATTGTTTACAATATGTATGATGGCATGCAACAATTACATTATTCTATAGTGTTCAGGGGATCTGTATCATGCTTAACGGTTCCTTCAGTTTACAGTGAAAGGAAGGTGATTGGTTCAATCTGGTGGTGATTGGAAATGCTGCTGATGATTTTCTCAAAGCACTGGCATAAGCATATAGCAGGTCTGCAGCTATTGGGGACATCTTGAGTTTCCCACAGTAGTCTGCAGGTACTGGGGGCATCGCGAGTTTCCCAGTTTCCCACAGATTGAATAAACTTAGCAGTAACAAAAATGATAGGTCTATTTTAATGCTACAGTTAGAAGGGTAGAAAAAAAGGTTAATATGATTTAATTCATGAATTAAACTTGGACCAGTTTTACTATGATGATTTAATTAAAAACTTTTCCACAAAAATAATTTAGAAAATTTAGTATACTTATTTAATGTCTATCATTTGATGGTTTCTATGTGCATTTGTTCTGCACTTCAATCAAGAAATCTTTGAGGTAGAACTATTTATATAAGGCTGAGCACAAACAAAAAGAAGTGGTCTTTTGAGCAAATCAAAGTGTTGAGCTTGATTTTTACCGTCCACTTCATTTTTCAGCTTTGTAACATCCTACTGCAACAAAATCAGAATGCAAACGAAAACTAGAAAAAGTGTGTCCTTATTGCAATCAAGTCAGAATGTGAAATAAAAATCAAATAAGGCTTGTTAACTAATAAAAACATCAAGTTGTTTTGTTCTAGTATGTCAGGGATTACAGCTATAAAAAGTTAATTAAACTGCACTTTACATTTACAGTAATTCTTTCACATTGTTACCATTGATCGGAAGAATTGATCAATCAATCTGCAATGTCGAGAAATACATCTGGTGGTAAATAATCCCTTTTTTAGCTACAGTGATTTCAATCAAATTAATCTGATTTAAACTAAATAAATCTTGTTTATTTAAGAAATCGTGATAGCTTTGATAGATAACTTTATAGTTATATGTTAATGGACCTCTTCCTCTATAGTCTGATACTCTACTCTTGCTCCAGCAGGGGTGCTTGAACGTGTATCGTTAAAGCTGCTATGTACTCGTGTTGCTTCAACAATTGAAATTTACCATAATGCTTCAAATGACACGCTGCATCGTGTGTGGGCATTGGTCGATTTTGAGTTCGAAAGGAATAGGGGTCTTGACCGAATATCGAATATTGAAGTTTCTCTAACCCCTTCATTACTGTTGCACCATGCATAAAGGCGGACACCAGACTTAATATTCTGCAAGGCTTTGCTCCTCTCACGTCTTCAAGCGAAGGATGGAAAGAGGGGACTAAGTCGGCCACGAGTGTGCGCGCGCTGTTCAGATGGTCGGATGGTTGATTGTGCGAGCACGTGAATGGGGTAAGCCTGCAAAAAGGGTGCCCCCACTATGCCACAATCTGTGCACCGGAGGATTAACGATGGAACTTTCCAAAACCAGCAAACGAGAACCAAGTTAATTTCTTGTGCTGGATGCTTCTTTGGTGACTGCAATTATTAATCAATGTGAAATGACTTTTTTTTTTTTTTCAAATAAGTGCTGCCCCCTTTTAGAAATTTTGATCGGAATGCATAGGTATGAAAATGTGAGGGCCAGAAGGAAGAGGGAAGAAGCTTCTTTGTATGAACTTCAGGACGAAAAATAAGCTGCAGATAAGCCACAATAGTTACAAAGGGTGGAAAACTCAATCACTCACAGGCCAGTGCATCTAAGAAGCAGGATGCGCAACTCCTTTTCTTGGGAGGCCATAGCTTATTTTGCTCAAACTCACAATTGCATGTTTTCATACTCGGAATGAACCAGCGTCTGCCTGAGCCTGTGTGTGCACAGAGGATGCTTTCCAAAATCCTAAATATCTCCTTAAAAAAAAAGTGAAAGCCGTTTACAACTCCCTGTAACACCGAATTAGAGCGCAGCTTTTGAGGAGGAGGAGGAAAGGGTACTGGGGGGTGAAGTCACTTGGGGGGGGTCACGTGACAATGCCGATGATGTCATCAGTGACGTCACTGATGACGTCATCCGGGGCGATGCGGATGCCGGTGATGTCATCAATGACGTCACTGATGACGTCATCAGTGATGATGACGATGACGATGCAGATGCCGGTGAGGTCGTCAGTGACATCACTGATGACGTCATCAGTGACGATGACGATGCGGACTCCGATGACGTCATCAGCGACGATGACGATGCGGATGTCGGTGACGTCATCAGTGACGTCACTGATGACGTAATCCGGGGGGGGGGGGTGATGTGACCTCGGGGGGGTCACGTGACTTCGGGGGGGGGGGGGGGGGTCACGTGACTTTGGGTGTCACGTGACCTTGGGGGTCATGTGACACCCGTGACACCCCAGGGTCACGTGACTTTGGGGGCCACGTGACCTTGGGATGACCTTGGGGGGTCGCGTGACCTTGGGGTGACCTTGGTTACGCCGACGGCGACGCCAACGGCGACGCCGCTCAAGCCGGGAACGGGCCCCTAAGAGCTGCGCTCTAAAATGAAGCACTAAAGAAGAATGTTTTCCAGTCATATTTAGCAATGTCGCTCCCCTTTCCCCCTAAAAAAAAGTGAAAGCCGTTTACAACTCCCTGTAACGCCGAATTTGAGCGCAGCTCTTGAGGGGGAGGAGGGAAGGGTACGGGGGGGGGGTGGGTGGGTCATGTGACCTTGGGGGGTCACGTGACGATGCCGATGACGTCATCAGTGACGATGACGATGCGGAGGCCGGTGACGTCATCACCGATGATGACGATGCGGATGCCGGTGACGTCATCAATGACGTCACTGATGACGTCACCAGTGACGATGACGTCATCGGGGGGTCACGTGACCGCGGGGGAGAGTGGTCACGTGACCTGGAGGTCACGTGACCTAAGGAGTTGCGTGACCTGTTGCATACAACCTGTTGCATCTCCTCTGAGTTGCTGCATCTCAGGCTGCATGCAACCTGTTGCATCTCCTCTGAGTTGCATGCAACGCGCGGTTACGCCGACGCTGACGGCGACGCCGCTCAGGCTGGAAACAAGCCCCTAAGAGCTGCGCTCTAAAACAACCTCCAAGGGGAACATAAAAAGAAGTACAAGTGCACAGCACGCTGACTAAATACCTGCACTGACTGCAGCAGCATTGAAACTCGCAGACTCAATGCCGGTTGTCCATCTTGTTGCGATTGCTCTTTTGTATCGAAACCTCCTTTTTTTTTTCTTGTTGGAGTCTATGACTTCATTGCCCTGGGCTTTAGCGGAGCAGGTACAAGGGGTAGAGAGGGGGAGAAAGGAGAGGAGAAAACAGGCAATGGAGGAAAGGGTAGAGCGAGGGAGAGGAGGAAGCAAGGGAAAAGTGGAAAGCGTAAACTGGGTGTCAGCCTTTAAGAAAAACCTAGCTGAACTTGAAAAGGTTATTTCCCAACTTCCACTTGTTCACTTCTTAGCTAATTTTGATTTATCTATATTTATTCTCTGTGGCATCAGAAAGTTAAATGCCTACATTGGAGCTATTGTGATGGCAAGTTAATGATGACTTTGGTACAAAATTAAACATAGAAATGCCTACCGTAAAATCCCGAGAGATGCCCCAGTCCCGAAAGATAGCCCACCCCAATTTTCGGATTGATTTGCTATATTCTTTTAAACACCGAAAGATAGCCCACTACTAGTAATAGTAGTGTTGTGTATACCGTAAAAACCCAAATATAAGAGTTTTTTTTTTTAAATTTTGCTATGTAAATTTTGCGGCTCGTATTATACGCGGGTCCTAACAATTTTCAGCTTCATGAGGCGCGATCTAACGCTGTTTGACGTAGTTTCGGTTTCGAAGCAATAAGGCGCTCAAAACAGCTATCATCATCATTAAATTCACAATGTTCGAGGCGCCACCATCCGTCAACAACAGTGAGGCTCGGCGATGGCGTCGGCGTGAAGACAATTATCGACCGCCTTCAAAAGAAAAGTCCTTTTGGTTGCGGAAGGCATCGGCAACAGGGCAGCCGGACGACAATTCATCGTAAATGAGGGCAGCATCCGCGGATGGAGACGACAAAAGCAAGCTCTGTTTGCGGGCAATGGAACGAGAAGAAGCTTTAGAGCCCGAAGAATGGCGTGTTCGCCGACGTCGAGGCAAGTCTCAGCGACTTTGTAAAAGAGCAACGTGAACGGCACCTCGCTATAAACACCGAGCTGCTGCATGAGAACTTTGGTGAGCCGACATTGGGTTACTCGCTTTATGCGCCGTGCCGAGATTTCACTGCGTCGGCGCTCGCTCGTCGCTCGTTCTTTCAAGTGCGGGATTTCAAATGCGGTCGACGGCACTGAAGACTTACTGCCTTTGGGAGGAGGCGTCGGACAAGGAGTCTGACGGACGTGATGACAGTGATTAAGGTTCAGTTATGACGCTAATAAGGAATATTTTTGTAGTCCTGATTTTGTTTCATATTATACGCAAATAATTTTTTTTTTTCGCAGTCCTCAAATTATGTTTTGTATTATTCGCGGGTTTTTACAGTACTCTTCTAGTGGTTCGTCGTTCGTTTGCGCTGTATTCTCGTTCCAGCAAGCTTCCAAGGGACACAACCTAAAAATAGCAATTTTTTAAAACGTTTCTTGATTGTACACCGAAAGTTAGCCCACTTCATATTTTCACCCGATTTGCTCTTGATGTTAGGTGGGCTATCTCTCGGGATTTTACGGTAGCTATACATAATCAAGGGGATTTATAAATGTCCTTGCTATATGCAGTTTTTCTTTAATCTTAAATTTGAAAAATGGATAATCACGAATTATGAGTGCGGGTAGTCAAAACACCTGTGCTTAACACAATTTTGCATAATAGCCACAGCTTAATTTTAAAATTTTTACTGCATTGTAGATATCAACATTCACAAAGTTTAGATATTTCTAAATGCATCAGGCACATACTTGCACCAACTTGCTTTGAAAGTGCTTTTCTTTTATGCATGCAACGCAATATTCATACTTCTCAAAGTGTTGATCGTGGCTGGTTAGCCCCGTTGAGCGTGCTTCTCACTGAGCATCGGTGCGCCGCGAAGCAGCGAGCTCGGCAGGTGTTGCTTCTCCCCAGTGCACCGGTGCTCAGTAAAGGAGCATGCTCAACGAGCAAACTCGCCACGATCCAACACTTCAAACAGCATATTATTCGAAACCACTGTTCAAAAATTCGAATATTTGCACAATCCTAGTCATGTGTTCATGTAAACATTCCAAGCAGACTAAACGATTAGAAACAGGTTGATACAAACATGCAATACATTCTGTTTTAGTCAGTTTTGTGCAAAGTAGCAAAGTAAGTTTTGCTTTTGCACCAGGTCTTGGCTTTCTCTGCTTTCATAGTTTCTTTTTTAAAACAGCCCATGGCAGTTCTTTTTATATTGCCATGTGCATGACCAAGAAGGAATGCTCTCTCTACCCCTAGAAGATTCGAGTTCACCCTTGCCCCGAGTGTAAAAGATAAGGAGGTCAGCAGGACGTTGCCAAGTCAGCCCTCGCCCTAATTCACAACCAAACATTTTAGTTTGAATATTCGAGATACCGATGTAGTAAATAAGGATCCAAGCGTGGCTTTGCCGACCCACTCACTCTCGCTTCTGCCAGCTGTCACGCCAACGCCGCGACGTTCGCTGCTGCTGTTTCGACGCTGTTCTGTTTCTGGCACAAGTTTGCCGACTGAACCTTTATTTTCAGTTTATGTACGTTGAGCCTGTTCCATCTGCAACGAAACAGGCACCAAGCTTTGAGCTGTTTTGGATTTCCTCCTAAGGCATCTTGCTTTATAGCAATACCTATTACGTGCTCTTGTACCCCTTCATAATGTGGGGTGTTCACATCGCTATTCCCAAATGCTTGAAAAAGAATGCCCGCCGCAGTTTCCTCGGGGTTCGATCCTGGATTCGCTGGTTGTGAAGCGAGCTCGTGACCACAGAGTTGCACCAGCTGCCTCGACACGCCACTAAGTATTGTTCATGTTGAGCATACAGCATCCGCTAGATGGTGGTAGTTGTGACGTCGCATCACGTCACCCGGTTGTCACGGGCTTTTCAGAGTGAGTGCATCAGTCTCCGAGCAGATGTCGGCAATGGTTCTTCCATGTAAAAGGCAAGATACATAAGGATGCATTAGGGTCTGATAAAGTGTCTCAGCTATTGTTGTTGTGTCTACCATGAATTTACTTGGGACTGCTCATTTTTTTGCTTGCAGAGTATGAAGTGGAAGAGGTGCTATGCATAGAAAAGCGTCAGGTGAGTTTCACTCCTAGTTGGTTGTGAACTGAGGGAAAGCTTCATTGTCTCGGGGGAATTTCTGGGATGCAACATCGAAAACTGTCTGGGAACCAACTGAAAGTGATGTTGGGATCGGGAAAAAGTTTAAGAAATTTTGGCTCCTGTACACTTTCTGTGGGAACATAGCACAATATCCCGAGTCATCGGCCACCCCACTTTTTGGGTGGACATTACCGGAATTCTGCACACAGATGTTTGTAGAGCGTCCCATTCCAAGCTCGGTATTCGTTGTGCCATCCACGCCACGCAGCAACGCCACCTCAACCTGCTTTGATAGTGTGGTGGCTGCGGAAGAGGAAGAAAACATTTCTCGAGACCCTCGAGAGAATGATGATTGTGAGCAGACACGGGTTAGAATGATTGCAATGCTCACTGCAATCTCTACGACTAAACTGTAATATATCGAAATTGCGTCCACGCACGGACGCAAGCTTAAAACAAGAAGGTTGCAATTGACAAGGCGCCTGACTTGGCTTGACGCCAAAGTGTTTGGCAATGCTATCGCAGGCTGTCCCACTTACCCAGCATTGCTCTTTGTCACTTCTTTCGTCTGCTCGCTTGTTGCATTTGGTTGGTTGTTTTTTTTCTTTTTTTTTATTAATGAAGAAAACATAGCAGTGTTAGAAACTTGCTTTCCCGGAACAAATGTTCACGCTGTATGCCGATCGACGGTGTTTATCGCGCATTTGTAAGCAACGAACATTGCGATAGTAAAACATTCTTTTGTGAGCATTTCTTCCTTAAATCAATGAAATGAATTCGAGTTTTAAGTTTAATATATCTCTTGTGCAGCCATCCTAGATACATACAGAAGAATGGGCATTTATTTAGCTTTTTCTAAACTTTTTATGCTTACCCACTACGACATGGCCCAACCCACTTTTTTTTTTATGAATTTCAGGTGGCAGGGAGGTGAACGATGACTTGGGGAATCGCAATAGGTTTTTAGTTGTCTTCGGGTATTAGATGTATGGGGCAGTTCCCTTCATTCGGATAGGGTATCTCAATATACCGGTATATCGGAAAACTGGAGACGACAGATGAGGAGAGACAACAGCCACTGCTGAGCCTGTTTTAGTTTTGTCCACTAATGCAATGAAGTGTTGGGTTTATTGTCTACAATTCTATGCTGCTCAGTTTGCAAAATTAAATACAAACACTCTCTTTTTAAGGCTGACAATACTGAATATGGTTGTAAACCCCCGAGACTGGGACAGAACAGAGTCAAGGGGGGACACTGGCGTGAGATTTAACTTCTGAAATACTCAAGTGATTGGAATGAAATTTGCAGGGGAGATTTAACATCAGATGTATGTGTATTATGCAAACTTGCAGCTCTCTAGTGCAGTTTAATATACCTGCATAAGAAGATGTGTCACTCTTCGTTAAGAAATCTGATATGGAAATGAAGCTATTAAAGGGGGGCAGTGACGCATCAAAATAATTTTTTTTTTATTATTCGAAACGATTGAACTATGCCGGGACATTACCTTCAAAATTCGAAACTTGGAAATTCAGTATTTGTGAAGTAAAAAAAACAATTTCCAAATGCTGAATTCGAAGCTCCTGCGAGATCTGCGCCGGTGCGTTGACGTCAAATATTGCGGAGTCCTGAGAGTCTACTTTCTTCCACGACTCCGTGCTGCTGTCACCGCGACCCAAAGCTGGGAGGAAAGGAGTGGGAGAGATAAGGGCGCCGGCGGACCGGTTTTATTCCGTGCGAGCAGCGAGCGCCTGCCCAGGGCGGCATGTTTTCCGAGGGAGGATACGATTCCAGAAGGTGGCATCACACCGGACACCGATTTTTGGTATTTCAAAAAGGGACGTAGTGCGTTTGCAATGGCGTTAAAAAACCTGTTTTACAATTGCCGTTATTAAACGTTATAGAAATGTCGCCTACGAAACTTCTGAATTTCATGATTTTTGACGTCGCGAATCAAAAGAAGCGAGGAGGCAAAAAGTGAAAGAGGAGAAACCAAAAATAAAAAGGCGTGCGCGCACGTAATAAATTTTTTCTTTTTGCAATGCGTTTTTTTTTTGCGTGTCTATGACTACAACTTGGATTGTTTTAGACAATAAAAAAAAATATGACCCTTGGGGTGTCAGTGCCCCTTTAAGCACCATTCTGGCTGCTTGCATATAAAGTGGCGATTGTGGGACCTTGGGCTTTCTAGTTTTTGTAACTCTAATGTAAATATTTCAGGAAGAGTTATTGCCTCTAAATGAGATGCAACTCTGTTCTGTCTAAATTTTTGAAAACGTCATTTCTCCTTAATGGGAGGGGACTTCAACTTAAAACAAAATAAAGTAGATGACCCAATTCCTTAGTAAATTTTAGTTTAGAAACATCTTAACTGTAGTATAGAAATACTGTTACCTTCGAGCAAAAAATTCTTCATATGAAATTTGCAGCAAAAAGGAGAGTGGATGGTGATGAGGGAACAGAGGATGGATAAGAGAATGGGATTAAGCCTGCTAAAGGGCAGGTGAGCTGGTGTATATCTTGTAGTTTTACTCTTTTTCTCACCTAGTTTGTCATGTTCAATTTACACCAGCTTGCCTGCACTCTAACCACTTTTTCACTGACCATAAGTTTGTTGAAATAAGACGTTTGCTGTTAATTGGTGCGATGATATTGGTTTCGACAAAGCAGTGTTTTTTGAGGGAAATTAGCATTGAATTTTTTGCCGTCTCAGTTTTGTAACAATAGACCTCATAGCAGCTAAAGGACTGGATGTTTTGAGGCAAAGGTAACTTTACTAAATGACCATTTATTATTTCAATTGTTCATCCTATGGACATTTTGTACATTTGAAAGCATACCTTCATCACCTACCGTAGAATACCGTGCATCCGCCCAGTCCACATTAAGCGCCCATTCCCAAATTTGTAAGATCTGAGGAAATATGTGCAGTACATTGATATGTAAAATTGATGACCGGACAAGTGCCCATCCCCCATTCTTGCGATTATTTCTAAATTTTGAGTGGGTGCTTGCCCGGTATTTTATGGTAATTCTATTTTCTAGGGAAATTGCAGCTAACAGCAATGATGAAAGGCTTTGTGCCGCTTATTCAGTTGGTGCATACCGTAAAATACCCAGCAAGCATTCACCCAAAAATTGGAGGTATCCACAAAAAATGGGATGTATGCTTCTTAGGTCCAAGACTGAAAAAGCAGAAAGGGCACGGGGGGGGGGGGGGGGTCCCTTCCTTGGCCCTTGTTCGGTTCGATGGAGTGGTATAGAAGTGGGGTATTGCAGAACCCCCTCATTTTTAATGCAGCCGTGCTGTTCCCTTCATGCTTGCTTTGCACCGGTGCTCTTGTGTCAAGCTTCACTGCTTTACACAAGTGCACGTGCATAAAGCTTCGATGCTTTGCACTGGCGGCAAGGAAAAGCGCTCCAGAGATGCATGATCCCACATGCCGGCAGACATTCATGCTCTGCCACTGCTGGAGGTGAAAAAGATGGCATTGAATGCTCTTTTTTTTAATTGTACCAGGACACATTCCACTTCTTCATCAAGTGGAAAGGATGGAGCTCAAAATTCAACTCCTGGGAGTCTGAGGAGAGCGTGGCGCACTGCATGGCACTGGTCATCAGTTACTGCATCCAGAGCAACAGCAGGTGAAGAGCCCCAAACAGACTTTCCTGTACCTACGAGTGAGGTTTCTCATCACCAGCGTGAAAAGTGCCGTGTCAGCGTTCATTCTCTTTCAGCACAGGCTAAACACTGACTAAACCAGCCATGCTCAATGAATGTGCCATGACCTTGCACAATCAGATTGTGCAAATTAAATGCAAAGCATTTATAGAGCCAACCTCAGCGATTTTATGCTCTCCCGATGTGCATTCACATTACAAACACCAGATATATCACTTGCACAGTTGCGCAACGCTGGTCGGATGACGCTGCCTAACTTTCCACTTCTTCGTCCCTTTTTTTTTAAACACAACCTGTTATTGTTTCATTCTCGTCACGTACGCCATTGGTCGGGACATAAGTTACTGTACCTTGCCTGTTTCTATGCTCTGTTTTACCTTACGATGGACCACAAAGGATGCTATGGGTCATCCAAGTTAGTCCAATGCCCATTGAGTGTCACATGAACTTAGAGAGGGGCACAGTGGCATGTCGTCACTTCGAATTGAATCATGAAACGGAATATAGTGATGTCTAGAGAAAGCAATCAAACCATTTTGTGACCGGACCGCCCACTTTAAATAACTACCCTGGGAAGGTAGCACAGTGCAGTGCAATCAACCAAGTACATTACCCTAAGAACCGAACATGCTGCAAGGTTTAGTTTTCACAGACAATATCAGCCCATATCACTAATAAAAAAAAGCTTGCAGGTTTTTTTGTAACTTACACACCATGAAGCATTCTCCATGGTGTCTGGGCTATAATGCGACCAAGTATGGCCACCGTAGATGTGGTGCTCGAGTACCGCTAGTTGTTAAGACGGGGACAATGATAATTCACTGCAACATAGACCTGGAGAAACATTTCTTTTTTTCTTTTTTTAATACAATATGATGCAACATGTCTATGCGGATTTTAAAATATCGGTTTTCAAAGGTTCATCAAGTAATGTTTGGAAAAAATCAAAAATTATTTTTTTCATTGCTGCGAAAAAATTTCACACTTCTTTCTTCTTGTTATTTAAAATACTTTTGGGCACAATGCAAAAGACTTACTATAGTTGAGCAATAACTTTCTTTTACAGCGGAGCTGTTGAAGGCTAGTTTTGCGAGGATTGTGTCCCCCGCAAATAAATGTCAAAACAAAACTCTGGACAGCTACTGCCATCTATGAGCGACGGCGACAACCAGCTTGCCGGCCTTGCTCATAGATGGCGGCAACCTTTCCAGCCTTTCCACTCTGGTTTTCACCAGAGTGGAAAGGCTGAATTTCTCTAGGCGTCGTCCTAGGTGTCGTCCTCGAGGTCGTCCTAAAAGTCGTCCTTGCGGCCATCCTAGACGTCGTCTTTGAGGTCGTCTTTGAGGTCGTCCTTGAGGTTGTCCGAGAGGTTGTCCTTGAGGTCGTCCTAGAAGTCATCCTTGAGGTCGTCCTAGAGGTCGCCCTAGAAGTCATCCTTGACATTGTCATAGACATCCTTGAGGTCGTCCTTGAGGTCGTTCTAGACTTTGTCCCTGAGGTCGTCCTAGGCATCGTCCTTGAGATCGTTCTAGACGTCGTCTTTGAGGTCGTCCTAAAAGTCGTCCTTGAGGTCTTCCTAGACGTCGTCCTCTAGGCGGTGTCCTTGAGGTCCTCCAAGAAGTCGTCCTTGAGGTTGTCCTACCATAGTATAGCTTCGCTGGTCTTCCTTCTTCACCAGACTGGAAAGGCTGAAAGTTTTTAATGGGAACAAAACTTGAAATACTCTACAAAAAGTTCCAGTTTAAAAACTTTTTAAGATGTGTTAAAAAATTGCATATAACTGCCTAAATATGAGAGTTGCACAAGAAGCCAAGGTTTACATTTTATTTTACTTGAAATATAGACTTAAAGGGGCACTGACACATCAAAATCAAATATATTTTTTTGATTATTCAAAACTATTGAAAACAATGCCGGGGCATTACCCTCAAAATTCAAAACTTGGGAATTCAGTATTTGTGGAGTAAAAAAACAATTTGCAAATGCCGAATTGGAAATTCCCCCGCGATTCGCGCCGGTGCGTTGACGTCAAATATTGCGGAGTCCCGAGAGTCCACTTTCTTGCACGACTCCGTGCTGTTGCCATGGCGACCCAAAGCGAGGAAGAAACAAGCGAGCGCCGGCAGACCGGTTTTGAGCGGTGTTGCCTGTTTTCCGTGGGAGGATACAACTCCAGGAGGCAGCACCACAACGGACTATGATTTTTGGTATTTCAAAAAGAAGGGCCGTAGTGCATTCGAAATTGCGTTAAAAAACATGTTTTCCGATTGCCATTATTAAATGTTATAGAAATGTCACCTACAAAGCTTCTGAATTACATGATTCTTGACGTTGCGAATCAAAAGAAGCGAGGAGGCAAAAAGCGGAAGAGGAGAGCGCCAAAAATTAAAAGGCGTGCACGTGGAAAAATGTTTTTTTTGCGATGCGTTTTTTTTTGCGTGTCTACGACTACAACGTGCATCGTTTTAGACAATAAAAAAAATACGACCCTTGAGGTGTCAGTGCCCCTTTAAATAAAATAAATTTAACTAAATCAAATAGACCAGTTGGCGTGCTTTATGCTTAAATATTTTTCTGTTCTAGAAAGTTTAATCCTTTATTTCTGTGGTCCTTGAAGTTGCATCTGCTTGCAATTGAGAAGGTTGTTGTTCCACCTAATCTCGGACACAATTTATTTTAACGAAAAAAAGAGAGCACTGTGCAAAAGTGAGATCCGTTTCATTCTGTGAACATGGTTTGCTACCTCTTATCAAAATTAAATTGAAGACAAAGAAATTTTATTCCAAGTTGTTAAGCAAATTTGTCGGAATGTGAAACGTTCTTGCATCATACCTGTAATCTGATGTGATGGAAGAACCATTGTTGCATCACAAACATTTGGTGATACTGTTAGTTTCCAGATGCGTGCGTTCACAGCACTCTTCATCAGATAATTTAACGCATAGCATGCATACAATTAACAGTTCCTATAATGAAGCGATACTGCCACTAATCGGGCTAATAAACCTGGCGATCTTCCAGAGCCTTTTGTACTCTCGAGCTCCTCTATGCCACTCGTTTGGTCACATGGCCTCCCCGTTAAACAATCGGCATTCAGCAGCTCACTCCTCTCCCAACAAATAACGATGATAATCATTGTCAAGCCTCACAGCCACATTTTTATCCAGCTTTCACTTTTATCTGGGCTTCACGAAAGGCCACACACCAGCCAAAGAGTTTCATGGTAAGTTCCTATCCATGGGCGTACCAACCAGGGGGGCAAGGGAGGTGCTTGCCCCCTCAGTTCTTCGAGTGGGGGGGGGGCAAGGCATGTGTTTTTCCCCTTCTGAAACAGCCGCCACTAAGCAGGGCAAACACTGTCCGTCGGCGCCCAAGAGATACACGGGCACCACCCCCCAACCCGGAGGGGGGGAGGGGGGTCTGGTTTGCCCCCCCACTCAAAGACAAGTTACCAAGCCACTGTTCCTATCTGCCGGACACAGAGCGGACGCCCCGCGAGGCTTTCCCGCCAAATGGCAGCTCAACTCACGGCAATGTTTCGTGACGTGCTGGAAAGACATTCGCTTAATCTAAATGGTCTGTGTTTGATTCTCACTTGGTGCAGACGCTTTTTTACTACGACGGCCTCTTCACCCCCCCTCATAAAGCTCCGCTTTTATCTAGGCTTTACCTTTATCTGGAATTCTGTTTTGGGCTTCATGAAATGCCGAACACCTAGCCAAAAATGTTTCTCAATAAATTGAACATGACCGTCCTATCTGAGCACACCCATAACACCATGTCGTATATGACGTTGCGAAGCAATGCGACACCTTACTTCACTTCATCACATCAAGCCATGTTACATTGTGACGTCACATGACATAATGATGACTGGTGCCAGTGTGTCAAGATGTCGTAAGTGACACTGTGACATGGTGTGATCTGACGTCACCGGGACGTTACGTGATGGAACGCCGCACGACAATGTGACATTGTGTCGGGACACTGTGATGCCAGGAGACATCATGACGGGACGCTGCCGTCATGTGACCCGACATCACTGACACGGTGGCAGTGCAACCTTACGTTACATTGACATCAGTGTGACATGGCATTACCTGATATCAGATGACACTATGATGTAACATTGTGATGTCACGTGGTACCATGATGTCACGTGACAGTGTGACAACTTTATATGTTCACAAAACTTGTAATTTGTCCTTGAGTGACCTCCTTTGAAACCTCTTCAACCTCCCCATTGCTCCCCCCAGCACAGAGTAGCCAACGGGGACAATTACCCATGTTAACCTCTCTGTCTTTCTCTTGTCCTTCTTTCCTTACTGTGCCTACAAAAGGAGGAGCACGAAGAGGCCCTCTAAGTGCAAGGCACTTCAAAAGTGGGAAATGCCAGAGAAGGACAGTTTTTCTTTTTGTTTGTGTCTCTTCACGCCTTTTTAGTGCACTCTGACCTGTGGTGAAATGAAGTATGGCTATCTTGGGCATTCAGGGCATGTGCTGCTTCCAAATACATTCGTTTCAGCCCCCTGCTTTTTTCGTATGTTCTGCCGTTCGTTTACAAATGCATGTCACTGAATGTATGTTTGCCATAATTGCACGTCATTAGCTTTCTAACCTCCGAAATAGTCAAGAATAGATATGATATGTAAGGCAAAATATATTTCTCGCATCTCCCATCACTGCCTTCTTCAAGTTTTCCAAAGCCTCCCCTAGGCTATATAGGAAATTTGTAGCATTATTTAATCAATGTATGTTTTTCTGCCATAAATGATTCTCACAGGCTTGATTGGGGACATTACATGAGCTCATTGTTTTGAGCGACTTCCCTTAATTTAACTTGAAGATTCTGCTAATATACACAAACTATACCTATCCCCTATTTGTCTGCTTGACTGGATAAAGTATAAAATTAAAAGCATGTTAGACATATATGACAATCTTTTTAGCAAAGACATGGGCAGGGATGTTTGAGAAAACTTGAGAGCTCGGGGCACCCTTAATACTCTTGGGAAGGCCTGGATTCCAAGGAATCAGTTTGAGAGCCGATGAAGTAGAGTGATTACTCTGTGCATGGTAACCATTTCCTAGTCGTGGTTTTACTTTTTGAGGAAGAAAAAGTAGAGAGGGCTGGCAGGGACCATGTGCCAGAGTCCAGAGGAGTGATTCTTCTAGAACCAACTGCTGCAACTGCCTCGGTTTATTCATCCATGGCGCGTTGTACATAGGACACTAGACAACCCGACCGTCACACGACCATTTTTAGTTGGTGGCAAACTATTGCAGGTTAACAGGCACTGCTCACCCCAGGCAAACATGTGTGGCTGTGTAAGTCATTTTCGTACTTGCAGAATAGGGGATAAAATTAAATATACTCCAAGAAAGCAGCCTTCCCTCTTGTACTCCGCTTCACCTTGCAACGGTCTGCAGATGACATACGAGCCATTGGAGCCAATCCAGTGCCTCATGAGGGTCGCATGACCGTCAGGAAAGATGGAGCAACGTGCGGGACACGTTGTCGCATGATTTGTTGTGGGAACTGTGGCTCCAAACACTTGTCAAATAACTTGTGTCTGTCGCCAGTGCAAACACGGGGCGCGCCAGTGAGAGGGAAAGCCGTTTTCCGGACCTAACCCTCGCCTTACAAGTGAGTGTTGTCGGCCCCCCCGAACGATAAGAGCACTCAACTTTGCTTCTATTGGTCACTTAGCCCCAGTATCCTAAGAACACCAGTCAGAGCCGAGGGACGCACCCTTTTCGGTTTGGGGCTCTTGGCATGACAGCTTTGGCTCGTCATGCTGGACCAAGTGGAACACGACCAGCTATCCCGAGATCAGACTTCCATGTGACCGACCGTTCGATGGTCCCACGCCTTCAACTTCGACGGCGGCTGCCAGCGTATTTCACTGTTAAAATAAGCATCGTTACAGTCATCAACATGTCTGGCTTTCGACTCGTGTTCCCAAAACATGGCAAGCGTCGCAATCACTAAATCACTTCCGCGGATGGTTCGTAGAATCTTCTGCAGGCCATCGTAAGGCAAAACAGAGTGCAGTCTTCGAAGCTCCTGGAGGTCCCATTGGAGCGCCGTACCTTGTGACTAACTGTTGTGAATTCCCCTTACGCTCCCGCAATGCAGCTACAGGTTCCGACTGATGCGGTCGGCCATCAGGGAGGTCTGCAACCGAGAGAGCCCCGACGTGATGGTCATGTCCAAGCTTGTTGGCTTCAAGGTGCCCAGCAACGGCCACGTCTCCAAGAAGAACCTCATCGACATCAGGAAAACGGTGAGCCTCTTCCGCGTACGGTCCGCCGTGCTTTCCAGCCTGTTGGTGAAGTGTCCACATCTGAAGCATGTTTTGATGTCCTCGGGATTTTGCGAAAAATGGTCTTGAGCAGAAGCGAAAAATAGTTTGAAGTTGAGGTAGGCCAGATTACGTTCGGAAGAGAAGCTGAGTGAAGAGGGCGGAAAACGGAAAGGGTGGGAAGAAGTAAAATTGATTCAGGGAACTCGAGTCCCTCTATTTGTCAAACACAGAGACCAGCCTTTATTCCTTATTCAGAGAACTCCTGCAGCGCCTAGAAGGCATTATTGCAGGGGGCAAATAATAATCAAGGGTGGAACGGCTGCGCCATTTGCGCCATCCTGCGCCAGACGCATTTGTCTGCGCCATCGTGCGCCATTTGGCAGAAACTGCACCACAGCCAATACTTCGCGCCATTGTGCTCCAAATCGCACATCGTGCGCCAAAGTAATTCTATTTTGTCTTGGTTTCGGTTTTTATTGACTCGATTGGCAACCATGAGCTCGTTTAGCTTGGCCGGCCTTGTGATTTTGTGTTCCGCTTATTTTTCTTGTGTATCCCGAGTCGGAAGCACGCGAAAAAACTCGGGGGTCGGATCTAAGCGCAACGTCACCTGTGAATGGATTGTTATTCTTCAACCATAAGCGGTTAAGCAAGTCGGCCGAGGCGAGGTGGAGTCGTTAAGCGTCAGATAGCCTGACGGTCTGCGGCCCGGGTTCCGGATGTCAGCCAGTTGAAAACACATTAGGGAAAGATTCGTTTTAGTGTTTCATCGTTAGAAGTTAGAATCGCATTACTGCAAGATAAATCGTGATTTGATTGAACTGAGACGCTGTCCGATCCGAATCCTTGCCGGCCAGCAGCTCTCACGCGAGCGGTAGTCTGCTCGGCGTACTTTAATCTTGCTCTGGCTCATCGCTTCGAACATGATAACTCCGTTAATCGTAGTCTGATGCTTTGATACTGAGTTTTACAATAGGATAAACTGAAAATTTGTTGCCCTGTTCCTCCGCGCAACTGAACGTCTATTGCTTACGAACGCCACGTGGTTCGCATATATAATTACTATGTCGAGCACGTGTGGGTCATGCTATAAACAGTGTTGGTTTGCATTTTGAGCAGCTGAAAGCCACTCAGAAAATATCAAGGGTACTATCTTCAGAAACATATGGTACTTGCGTTTTGGTTCTCACTAAGGCCTCGTTTTTGCACCTGTTACACTGTTATCCCATCTACATAGGTGCCTAACCACTCATGCTCATATGGGCTGCTAAGTACAATTGAAATTGCTCCCGTCCTTGTCTAAGACACAGGCTAAAGTGCAATGAAAACTGATTTGAACTGCTCCTCGCCTGCTCCAGAATGCAGTTTTAGCTGCTCCCAGCCTGCTCCAAAACAGCAGTTTTAGCTGCTCCCGTGGCTGCTCCCAAGTACATTTCGGGAGTTCCACCCCTGAATAATGAAAAGAACATATCAGCATTTGCAGCACAAACTATACATTCATGTAAAGCGTTCCAGTCCTTGACCGTCCTCACAAAAGACAAATTTTTGCAGAGCTCCGTCCTAGTACAGTATTCGTGTATCTTGTGCACGTGATCATTACGTTTGGAAAAATAATTTGCTTTTAAAAGGTATGGTGAGCTATTAATACCAGTAGGTTCATGATAAATGTTGTATAAAAATTTCAACCGTAATTTTTTTTAACGAAGATCCAATGACGCCCATCCTAGTGATTGTTTCATGTTAGAAAATGCAGCCTAAAGAACCTAATAAACCCAATAACACAAGTTTCATAGTTAGTATGAAGTGATAAGAGAATTTTGATGACTTTCTAAGAAATAAAGATACAAGTTACTTATCTCATGGAATGTGCTCATTTGGAATACATTTTACTATGCCTGGGAGTAAAATATGATGTTTCCACTTGGAAAAAATTGGCCATTAATTGCCCATCGAAGACAGGCGTCCAGCCATGTCTCGCACACAGCGAATATTGTATTCGGGAAAGATTGCTTTACTGCTTTAAAGTCAAGTAGCTTTTTCTTTAGGAAGCAAACATTGGAAACACAAACGTGATTAGAGTCATATGACTCCAGTCGCGCACTTTTCGCACAATAACTACGCCGAACGCGGAGTTGTCGTGCGAATGGTGAACGCTGCCGATGTTGTTGCTCGCCGGAGGCGGGTCAGAGAACCACTTGGTAGAGCTGGAGATGATGGTGGGGTACGCAGGGGCTCCGTGCTGCCTAGGAGATGAAAAGAAGTCATAAGGCCGGGAGCTGCACATAGCCACTTAGTTGATAATGAGGAGAGGCGTCTATACAAAGCGAGAGATACATCTTTGCATTTGTGATGGAACCAGAAACACAGCTTTATTCTTAACCACGTGAGCCTATACTCTCCGTGCAACGCGACCGGCGCGCCGCCGCGCGGCCGTTACCGAAGGTAGGCAGTGAGAGCCCGAGCAAAACGAAACCACGCCGCGTACCAACTGAAGTCGGAGCGGTGCGGTTGGGCTGTGTTGACAGCATGAACTGCTGTGTCGTTAAGTGCTCCAATAGTTATGCGTCGTATCTCGTGGGGACGAAGTTTCACAGTTTTTCACCTCGGCGATGTTTTGTGGGACAGCGACAACGATGGACCCGTGCCGTACGACGCGAGAAATTTGGTCTCCCGATCATGTCTGCCACTGTGTCGGCACGGCTGACATATTCTACACTGCCGCTGTGCGCTCTGCATTTGTTTTCGTACCAGTAACGCCTGCATATCTTAGCTCTAACTGAAATGCCATCCTACACTCGCGGGTATGCAGTGCGAATTTCGTTGAAGGAATGCCCTCGAAAGAAGTTTCTTCCCCATCGTACGTGTCAATGATATTTCCGGACCCGTATTACACGCAGTCTATACTTCATGAAGAAAGATTCGGACAGTACAAAAAGTGACAAATATGAATCTAAGGAAAACTACAATGAAACTTGGAATCACTGGACAATCGACGTTTGAGTATGGAAGTTTATGTGGTGTGCTTTCTTTTTCGATCAGCCTCCTTTTGGATGTGGAAATGCTGACACCCGTCTTGTAGACAACATTTTGTTTTCTCGGCTTAGAGCCACCTATCGAAAAGTTGTTCGAACTGGAAGTACCGTCCCACTGGTCTCTTCCTACCTGTAAAGTGTGCACCTCCCACGGTGAGTGGTATTGTCTTGACAACCTTTGACGGTCAAAACCGGTTTCCATTTAGTTACGCCGCCCCAAAATATTTCCACCTGGTTAAACTAATCCACCTATTTTAGGCATAATAAGTGTTTTGTCAAGTTACGGTTGTCAAAGTACCTGTGTGCCGAAAATCAGCACCTCGCACAACCAGATTACTACACAACAGCTGACCGCAAAAGCCTTTGATGGCCAAACCGTGTGTCGGCCGGCAACTTGGTTTTCTCGGCTTTGAAGCCACCTTTCGTAAAGTTGTTTCAAGTGGAAGTACAGTGCACTAGTCCCTTCCTACTTGTAAAATCTCCATCTCCCATGACGAGTGGTATTCTCTTGACAGCCCTTTCACTGTCAAAACCATTTCCCATTCAGTAACGCCACCCAAACCAAATTTCCACCTGATTTTTCTATGCCACCTATATTTGGTATTATAACTGTTGTGTCAAGTTACCCAAGAACCTGTTTGTCCTAATCTGCACTTTGCACAGCCCGGTTATAACACAACATTTTGGGTCCAATATTGGATATTCCTGACAGCTTTATTCCTTTATTCGTTCGAACCATAAATTTCACACCTGCTGTCTTAATAAAACTTGGCCCACTTAGTGCTCAAACTTAGGGAACATCTCACTCGCCTCCAAATATCATCGTCCCAGCAGTCCTACGTTTACAGTGACGAGCGAAACAAATTTCCCACTGAGAGCAATTATGGTGGCGGCCGTCTGGCTTTTCGGAAAATTGCTCAAACCCTTTTTTCGACCGCAACTAAAGAAATTAGCCCTAATAACGACTCAAACTCAATATATAAGAAGCGGAGAACAACTAAATGTCCTTCTTAAATCTCTCCCAGCACTCATGCAACGTCACCCTCAACTTATCGGCTCAAAAAGCAAAAGTTCCGTCCGTGCGCGCTTCCGCTGCCACAGCTTCGGACGCGAAAAGGCGCCGCAGGCTGCTGAGCGCGCCTCACTGTCGAACGCCAGCTCCTCCGCTAGCGGCGCTACGCGCGTTTTTCAAAGCGCCCCCTATAGTTCCCGCACGGAGCGTATAGTTACTGTTAAAGCAACTGGTTTGTAATCATACTCGTCATGTAAAGCAATGTAGTGTCTGTGCATTTTTTTTTGCATTGTTTATGAATAGCTGTCTTGAAATGCCTTTATCGCGACTTTACCTCTACCGGTTGAGGCTATGTTTACTGATCTTCGGTTTATCATTTTTTATGCACATAGCTTGGAGGGTAACATTCAGATTGTTTGTACTACCGTGTCTCTTTGCTAATACTAGTCAACAACCGCATCATTGCGTGTGCTGTTTGTAACATTTTCGTATCAATTGTACTATGTAGAGCAAAAATAGTCGCCTGCTTAAAAATACTTATGTGAATAAATTACCTGTGATTGTCGTCCAGTGGTGCGCACATAGCAACAAAGTGAAAACGCAATGCAAGCGGACACAAGAAGCCAGTGAGCAAAACGCCATGGTGGCCGCCATTTTAAAAAACAAAACAGTAAAATTACAACATAAAAAGTGGGTTAGTTACCCCATCCGTGGTGAGAGGGTGCTCTTAAGAATTCAAATAATTGTTTGAGAAACTTTTGCTCTTTTCAAATTATTTGATTATTAATATAATTTAGTTTCTGTGAATAATATAGCATTACTTTAGTTTTACAATGTACTTTTATTCACACAAGGCCCTCAATCCCGTGGTTTGCGATTACCACAGGCTCATTCTACTCTAGGCAAACTGTATATGATAAACTGTGCTGTTCAAC